ACTAACACTCGTATTTGGCTCAAAACTGAAAATTTTCATAAATTTCAACATTTGTATTAGGAGAGCATAAGTTGCATCGGGTCTTTTTCAAAAAACTTTTGAATTTTCCGTTACTTTTCGATTTCGATTTTCATTCATATACGTGGAGCTACCTTGAACGGAAAAACGTAAAAAACACCATAAATAGCCATTTTTGAACAAAAATAAAGCAAGCCACAGCTACTTCTTATCATTTATTAATCAATTATCCATATCAGTTATCATTTACTGGCGAATTAAGAAAAAAATTGTCCTAATGTTCGATTTCGGTTCCCAAAAATAACCCATGTATAGCTACCTGTCGATTGTTTGGGAACCGAAATAGAACTTCGGTCAAATATTTTAACTTAATTCATCGATAAATGATAACTGATGACATAAATTAAACAATAAATGATATGAAGAGCTCCCGCTTGCTTTATTTTTGCCAAGAAATTATTATTTATGGTGTTTTTTAAGTTTTTACGGTCAAAATCCACCTACGTATATGAACTAAAATCGAACTTTTGTTGAAAATTTTTGCAAAATTCATCAATAAATCACATCTATTATCAAAGATTATTCAATAAATGATCTAAATATGCTCTCGTTTGCTTCATTTTCGGTCTAAAGCGTCCCATGTTTAGGAATTAAAATCCCATATTTATTTAAATTTATTTATAAATCTGTAAAACGGTGGAAACCTGTAGTCTTGATTCTTGATAATGTTTGACTATTGGTCGTGAGATGTCGCTTTAGGTACGTTAAATACGAGAGACGTCCTACAATTCTTTAACTAAAATATCAGGGATAATCGAAAAGTTTTAACAGAAAATATTTAAATTGTCTTTTCGTTATTAAGTAAAATTTTCGAAGGGGTAGGTGGAATTAGGAAAGAAAAAACAGAATAATTATTGTACGGAAGCTGTGTAATTTCTTCATCGTTTTTTTATGACTGATAAAATAAAATGTGTTCAATAATACATTTACCGTTGCAAATTAATAGCATTTATAATAACAACAAAGTATGAAGACCAACAGATAGGTATTTTAAATAAAAATACATTAATACAGACAAAATATTTAAGGAACAACACATTCTAATGACTTATAAAAGTTAAAAAATAAAACACCTGTAAGAGAAAGACGAGGAAATCTATAAAATTTCAAGGAAAATACAATAAAAAGCATCACATTATTAATAAACTGCGACGTCATTATTATTTAAATGCAAGATTAGGGAGAAAAGAGCCCTCCAAACCCTCTGTGGCCTCCACATTGCCCCTTATATTTTGAAGGCGTTAACAAACAATTAATTTAATTTTAACAATTATACCAAGCAATCAATTTAGAAACGTTTTAAATAACAACCTGGCTTACGACTATACAAATATAAGTTTATGCAGTAAAAAACATACTACCTGTAAAAGAAAGATAAGAAAACAAATGAAATTTCAAGGAAAATACAATAAAAAGCAAAAAAAATGATTTCTTCATTCATCTTAAGAACTACCTCATTATCTGAAAGCAAATAGTGCTAATTAACAGGACTAACGGCAAACACTAATAGCTTTGGTAAAGAAGATCAGACAGATTTCGCCAAGGCAAGTTGGGCAGTCACCTATTATTCCTATTCCAGATAATCCACTGTACCCTGTCTGAAAATGAAGTAACTCGAACTGCCAATTGTTTCAGTAGTTGCCAAATTAATCTCCACTTGTTTTCTTCTCCCTGGTCCAATATTAACTGCATAATGTTGCAAAGTGAAGATGTCAAAAGTTTAGGTTGCTTCAGTAATATTCAAATTAACTGCAATTCCCTCTCATTTGTTGGTCAATCTATAGAAACAGACAAGAAAAAGTAATTTATAATCATTTTTAAAGCAAGAAAACAGCAATAATTAAAAGGGTCAATGAGGAAGTAATGTTAAAAACAGGGGACGGATGATGTTGTAGATAGACAATGTACATTTACAAGCAAAATTAACAGCTTTTATTTTGAAAAACTGTATATTAACGTTCTTTTTCCTATATCTTCTACCTGTCATATTAAAATAAATTATAAGTGAAGATAGTTTGTAATTTGTTCCAAATTGATTCGTTATTCTGCTCCTGCCATTTTTAAATAGTTGTCAATAAAATGTAAGTTACAAATATCCAAGAAATTGAAGTTTCTGAGACCTTGGTTATTATTTTTAATTGATACTGTTACTTACCAGTTCTCTGTCATAAATACTTTCTTTAGCAACAAGTCACTGTGTCCATACCCAATTAAGAAAAGGTACTTTCATGCTTTTTTTCAGGACTATAGGTACAGCTACTTTTTGGTGTAAATGAACCAATGCTCCGTATTTTAATGGCATCGAGAGTTATTATGTTTCTGTAAAATCTTAAGAAAAAGTATTCAGATATAATTAATTTAGGCTTTTTAGTAAATATAATGCACAATACAATGTTAAAGTAATGGCGAACCTTTGCCAATGTATCAAATAAATATACTTCATGTATGCTCACGTTAATTATATCACCCAAGAGAAAAGTTAACAGCTAGGACACCATAGTGCACAACTTGCTTTTTCGGTACCATCAAAATTAACACTTTTCCACTGTTATTTATTGCCAATCTGTAAAAACAGAGAAGAAAAACCATTAAACTGCACTATTAAACAATTAAAACATGAAATACAATGAAAGTATGCATCGAAATTTTAAACCAAGATGAACAAGGTCAATACAAAAGCCATAACATTCATAGAAGTCATAGATGCCTCAATTTATGCCATAGAAAAGAGATATCTCTAATCTAAGATTTATGCTAAGGTTTTATAGAAATTTGCGACCGATTTAAATAATGCACTGATTCAAACTTCACCAATTATTTGTGCGTCATTTGCGGGTTGTAAATATGTAAGTATCATAATTGTGCGTCCATTACTTTTGTTAAAAAAAAGAAAAATTGTTTCGGGTGCAGGTAGAAATTAAATATCAATTTATTCAAAAACAACTAAGATATGCAATTATTACTAATAAAGAATATTAAAGGTAAATTTTGATTACAATATTAAATTGGTCTTCATGCACAAATGATACGCAACATTTGGCGTCAATTGAATTATCATATCTTTAGTAGTTTTTGAATAAATTGACATTTAATTTCCACCTGCATCCCAAACAGTTTTCCTTTTTTTTAACAGAACTAATAAACGCACAATTATGGCACTTACATATTTAAAACCTGCAAATGACGCACAGTTTACTGATAAAGTTTAAATCAGAGGATTATTCATATCGGATGCCAGATTGAAAGGATTAACTGTAAAACCTGCGAATATATATCTCCAATCTATGATTATTAACGTTAATCTATAGTTAACTCCAATTAACTGGCCATATTGATTTCAGTTAAAGTTGTTTACTCAAACAGAGTACATCGGAAGAGACCGACGAGACTTCGAAACGTTATAAACGCAGTTTTTGGTGTTTTTGTTTTGTTTTATTTTGATAATTATGATTATTATTGAGTCAGAGACTTTAAGTAATTCGGACAGTAAGGGAACTTATTTATGTGGAAATCTTGAAGCAATGCCTGCCGTTATCGAAAACAATACTTCGTAAGTTTAATATGTTCCTTTTGTTATTAACAATGATTCCTACATTCATTTCTACCTTCAATTAAGTCCGCATTGTGCTATTTAATTGATTCAATTGCATGAATGACATGGTTAATGCGTTGCACAAATTTGGTGCAATGGAATTTTCCATCAACAGTTAACTGAAAAGTTACACACACGTACATGTATGTATAGTAAGATATTTCAAACCAATAGGAAGAATACGATAACACGACAGGGAATTAAATATTCCATTTTACGATCTATTGTGCGTTTGAATAATAATTCTTAGCTGCATTGTAAATGAAATTGAATTAGTTACATAATTGTTAGAATTAGATTATGTTTACATTTACACTAACCTACGCAAATTTATGCCAATTTGGCAATGCAATAAAATAACCCGAAAATTGGACAACGTTCACATACAGATACTACCGATTGTCTTTCTAGAAAAAATGCTCTCCAAATTGATGTAGTTATTCCGAAATTAGAAGAAATTGTCGTGTTTGCAACATTTGTATATGTTGAAAATTTAGCAATAAAATGTATAATCTATTTGTCTATGTACGTGTAAACAATTTTTGGATATTACTCGCTTAAATGGTAATTATTTATTATGGTCTATTTTAAAACGCCTTTAAGATTTGTCTTACCTACAGATTATTTTAAACCATATACTTATTTTATGCATTATGGGCGCTTATTTTGTGGTACCAATGTGATTTCATTCAAAATAATCAACTTTAAAAAGTAATAATCAGTGGAACGGATAACGGATGCGGCAAAGTATCGCTTAATTTTTTTAATTAAGTACGATAGTGGCATAGTAGTTTGTATGAAACGTAATTGTTTATGACTTGGTCCGTTTGAATACTTTTTGTAATGTGGTTTATGGGATTGAGCAGTAGACTATTCGACAGAAACCGAAGGTATTTTGCGTAGATTCTTTCAAATTGAAAACTTGTTATAATTCAGTTCGTAACTACGCGGTGATGGAAATTTAAAAAATGGAGTACAAGTTTGAAATACTTAAATTCCCTCTAAAACTTCTAATTAATTTTATTTTGGTTTTAGAAACGATTTTATGTTGAACAGTAAGCGTTCCGCCCTGAGTTCCGCAGCCTCCGACTGTTTTAATCAGTCTCTGGGCGCCGGGCCTCTGTGGTGGTCCTGATGTCTCCAAGGACGAACAGGAAGATGGTGGAGGCGGACCGCCACTATTAAGACTCACTTTCCGCACCGCACGCCAACCCTGGGACGCCGTGTTACGGGGGCGCACCTTGTTCGTAGCTCTGCCCCCTGACATGTTGCCGGAGGGCTCGAGAGAGGCGTTCGTTGCACTATTAGAAGCTGCCGAGGAACAACTTAAGTGCCATCACGTCGTTGTGGTAAGAGCTTTCACTTTATGAAATAATTCAAATCATATTCGAGATGTACATTTTTTTTTAATCAAAATTTACCGATAATAATACAACTGGCTCATGAGTTGTTTGCAAACAAAAACATGTTGGAGAAAAAATAGTACCTATGTAATTTATTTTTAAAGTGGACTTGGCATAAACAGTGTGAAAATAAAACAAATTTATGTGTTGTGTACATACACTACCACCAATTCGTTCAATATTTTTCAAAGAACTGATAAATTTTGAAACGTGATAAACGACCTTGAATCACATCCAATCTGTGAACTAGAGATAAGAGAGAGGTCGTGTAACCTTTGACGTCTTTACAAATATATTTACAAATAAATGTAGCACCGGACTTAACTTTGAAAACGGGAAAAGTTTCAAACAATGCCACAAATTATTTTTGTTATATTTTAACTTTACACTAGCATTGTTCTTTTTTGATAATTATTTTGTATTAGTTGTTAATTGTGTATGTTGTAAATTTAAGGTTTTTGGAAAAGATCGTGTAGACCGAGCCACACTGATTCGCACTTTTATGTTTTTGGGTTTCTCTATATTGTCACCAACGTCTCCACTTGTACCCCCATCGTTGGCCGCCAACAATGTCTGCATGTTGTACAATATCGAGTAATCGACCCCCAGCGAAGCCTCGATATTATTTCCCCTTTTAAATCTGCATTAGTTTTATAGGTTTAAGCACTTATACTACTATACTTATACAGTCGAACCTGGGTAAGCGAGAATTCAAGGGAATCACTTTAATTTTTCTCCAATGATTGTTATCGACTGAAACCAAATGTTGAGGATGAGTACCATGAGCAGGTAGCAAGAAGCGCACAAGTGTGCTGCAGATGTTTAGTAATTGCAAATAGTCTGGCGTACAGAGGTCTAGTGTAAGAAACTGTCACTTAAAGAAGTCTAGAATTGAAAAATGGCTCTCTCTAAAACAGGTACTTACACTGTCACTCACAGGTTTTCGAGGCTAAAAATGACCTGACTATTTTTGTCGCTTATAGAGTTTTCTCACTTATCCAGGTTCGACTAATAATTTTTAGGGATAGGATTTAATCGGTATGAACATCAACGTGGAAAAATTAATATTTCTTTTTTTTTTTTGTGTTTAAATAGACAATTTTCGACTAAGAAGGCAGCATGTTGCTTTGGTTAAATTCTTGAAAAAATTTTAAATTCCATTTTGCGACAAGATTATTCCTACCATAAATTTTATTTTATCTGGTCATAATATTGTTAGTTATCATGTTATAAGCTTTGATTATATAATTAGTGACCGTTACATATCTATTGCTATTAAAGTAATCTTGTTATTTACTAGTGTACCTAGTTATGTAAAGGCAAAAGCGGATTAAAACGGGAAATTACATATTATTCATCTTAACGATAATGTGAGTCTTAGTGCGGTGTCTTGCCTTCACCATTAATTAAATTAAAAAATATAAAAAAAAACATATAAAATCAGAAAAGACAAAAAAATTTTCATTGATTATATATATATAAATATCAAATATGAAAAATATCGGTAGTAGCAAGTGAAGGAAGAGAACTAAACTAATTGTTGCTAATGTCATCATTATTATTATTATTACTAATAGTTTCGATATTTTTTTGTGGTTTTGTGAATGTCAATGTTGTGTAAATATCAATATGAACCGTGTTTATTTTTAGAGGACTGTAATTAATGTTAGGGCCGATTTTCCACGTTTGTATGGTTTCAAGCAGCCTTTTTATTTTATTTCATCCATTCCACGTTCGTATTATTCTCTCACAACTACAGTTCTGTATATCACTTGTTCTATTAATAAAATATTAAACAAATAAATCCATGTCTAATTGTTATCGTGTGATAAAAATTTTTATATTTACGGAAGGATATTTGTCTGGTAAGTACATCCTCTTAGATAATTTTGTAGACATAAAATTAACGCGGTTCTGTTATATTCAAGCCGTATATATTCATTTTGTTAATTGTTTTTATCTAGAATGTCTTATGAAACGGCGTTAACTACTTAAATTAACCGTATGGTTTTAAAGTTATTGTTTATTAAATAAAAAAAAATGCTCCTTTACATTATGAAATAAAAATAAAAACTTACACTAATGAACTGTTTGCCCATTGCACTAACTCTGTTGGCAAATGAGGTACATTTTTTACAGCATCCATTATTTGGTCAGACGTCAAGTGCAGGCGAAAAGGTTGATAGTCCTTTTGTAACTTGAATGTCGTATTACTGCAGGGGGCAATTAATTCAATATTCTGAAAAGAAGGCGAGTATCGATCATTTATTCAATTTTACGATAATGTATTTGCCAATTGAAGCCCCCCCCCTGCTAGAATTAAATAATGTCTTCCGTATCATTTTGCATAACAAGAAATCTATGAAATAAAAGTACAAATGCAATTATAATTTTTAAACCGGCACATATAAATTATCTTATACAATTTATAACTTCTGAACAAGAACAAATTCTACCACATTATCGTTTAATAAATATTACTTTCTTCATACAAATAAGGTACAATTTAGGAAGCATTACTCTAATGAAAAGATTCTGTTTAAAAATTAATTGAAAAAATGTATTAACTAGTCTTCCTTACCTGTATATGTTCAAAGGCTTTCATAACAACAGGTCGTGGGACAGCTTGCACATTTGAATTAGCTCCTACAAATTTCATGTACCTTGTATATATCATTTCAAAATTAAATGCCTGATTATCATAAATTTCCACGTGATGCTTCATTGCAATAAGAAGACACAATTCCAATGCTGAAAGACTTCCCAAGATTGCAACTGTGTCATCTCTTTCAAATTCCTTCATTTGCTCTTGGAACATTTCTACCTTTAATTTAGGATTTTGTGGACTGAGTTGAGATACAACTGAAATCTAAAACAATATAGTGATTTCTAAGAAGTAATCTTGGTAAATTTAAAGTACTTTACCAATATGGTTTTTAAGCTTCTCTCTGTTAAATCGATATCCAATAGTCTTTGCATCAAGTTTTTAAAGTTCTTATCTTCAGTTATGACTAATAGATGATTATTCCAATTCTTTATAACATTTTTATTCAAACTTGTATCATTCTTACTAATTTGAAGATAATTTAGTATGCAATTTATTCTGTGGTCCAGGTTGTTTTCCATAAATATAAAAATCTGCCTGTGTGAAAATCTGGATTTTACGCGCTTTTCAAACAACTCAATTACATCTAAACGACATGTTATTCCTGTAATATGTAAATTATTTAATGTAATGTTCACAAACAAAACAAAGGCACTCACCCAATACACAGACTGAAGTTTGTGCATTTTGGGATATATCAAATAAATTATACAAGAGTGTTTGATTGTGATGCGCACAGAATAAGTCAAATTCTTCCAATATAAAAATCACACTTTTTGATATATCTTTTTTCCCTGCTTTAAGACATGCTAAAAGAAAAGCTAAATTCTCTGCAAAACTACCAAACACTTTCCCATCCACGGCATTATCAAGATTCATTTGTATTGTTATGCTTTTTAATGCTAACTTATCATCAGTGTGAATGAGGCCATTTAAACGTACCAGCAAACAATTCTCTTCAAAACTGATGTCATTTTGCAGTTCTTCTATAATGTTGTTTACCAACTATAAGAATGCTGAATTAATTACAAATGATAACAATATTGTAATTTTATTATATGGAAAGGTTTTTTAATATGTACATGATTAGGCCGACTATTCACAAATAAATAAATAGCAACTTACTGTTGTTTTCCCGGAGCCGCGTTGACCTATTAATAATGCCGAATTTGATTCGCCATTGTCAATAGATCTTTTTAATAATTCGAAAATGATTTTCCTTTCCTTTACATAACCTCCAATATCAATGCCTCTTAAAATTTTCTTTTTTAGCGCTTGTTTTATTTGCCTTCCACAATTTTCCATACCGACAACTACGTTTTCACAAACAGTTCATACTTAGAGCACTTTTTATGAGTAGTTAAAGTCTTTAACGAGAAATAGGTTGCTGTGTTTTGAATTTTTCGTTTACTACCGCTCGCAACCTTACGTTCTTCTTCTTCCTTTTCCACTTCTTCTTGATATTGTCCACATTTTGTCATTGAAGTAAAAAACAATTCAGCCATTTCTGGAACAAAAATAAGGTACTATGAGGTACAATTAATATGAACAACTTATACACATTGCTTAATCATTAAATATACTAGTTAGACACAATTTTTAACTTAAATTGGCCCTAATATTTTATTTTCAAGAATACTTCGTAATTATTTACTAAAGCTAACCTATCGTCCAGCTTATTAGTGCCTATGAGTACCTGTACCTTATATAAAGCTCTTGATCTAAATATACTTTTCGTGAATCATTTTGAATCTGTTATTAACAGAAAGCTTTAGAATTAAATTACGAGTTATTTTTTGAAATCANGATGAATTGTAATATCAATATACATAAGAAGGGTCGGAAAAATGAGAGAAAATGTGATAATTAATCATTTGGGTCACTATAGCCGGATATGATTTCTTGACGATCAGTCCTAATAAACGATATATCATTGTATCCAAACTTTCCTATAGAGAATTTAATATGAAAACCAAACTCAACTCTGCAATTATTTCATATTAAGCGGCTGGTCAATATAGGCGGAGTCATAATAAACGAATTCCACTGTATGTAGCTAGGAAAGTATTTTGTAATGGTTATTAACAGAAAGCTTTAGAATTAAATTACGAGTTATTTTTTGAAATCAGTTAATTAATTTGATTATAACTTTTCTGAAATGTTTTCTATTTATAAAAAGTAGAAAATATTAAGGATTATATGACAGTAAAATTCCTTTTACTATAATCTTCAATCTTGTGGATCAACACAGACGATATAAATTGACTTTGATTAGACAGATGCGTTTTCCTTCAATTAATGATCTTGTTGCTTGTTTACCTCTTTCAGGAGGATCACACATTTCAATTTCTCTTATCATCATTCATAAGAAAAATTAGTTTGCTCAACGGAAAAAGAACGTATTACAAGTTGATATACCCTTCCTTCATTAGTGTAACGACTCTTTCATCTCGTAATTTTTTTTAACTGAAATGTATATGATTTCAACGATATAAAAAAAAAAAGAAATCCGACCGTAAAAAGCTGTTCAACAATAAGCGATAAATAATGTTTTGTTTTTATTTAATTATAACAGTTGTAAGAACATTTAATAAAAGTAAGTATTGTCAGTAGAATATACTGGGTGATTTAACTAGTGCCGTATAAAAAAAATTGATTCCGAATTTTAAGATATTTAAGGTCTTCGTTTGTGGGTGAAATAAACCATAGGAGTCTTTTTTTTTCAATTTTTCTACTTATAATGCTGATCTCATACACTTCTTAAGTAATTCCTGGAAAAATTGGCAATCACTAAAAATATGGCCTTTTTTCGCTGAAGAAAATAGTTATTTTTGACATGTAATTGGTGACATGCGTTGGGAATTATGTTTGTCGGTTGGGGGTAATTTGTACTCCCTGAGTGGACTAAGACTACTGGTGACAATACAATACAATATAACAACCGTCAGACTATAATAATGTTTCTCCATATGGGGTATTTATTTCGAAATCGAAGGCTACTAAAAGCTGTTTCCACGAAAAAAATAAAATAATCGGTCGAATGCTTTTATAAAGAGCGCCTACATTTCATTAAACGAAAAAAAAAATGTATAAAAACTGTATTTGAAACATTTAGAGGATGAAGTTCAAATAAAATAAAAAATATCGCAAGCATCTATGTTTCTGTTACAACAGCAAATTTAATAAGGGTCAGTAGATAAATTTCGTAACGCTAATTACGAGGAGGGGAGAGTCCGATCGGGCAATACGTCCTGTTAGGCGGGGTAGAAATAGGGGGTCAATGTTTGCGTTACGTAACCTTTAATAATGCGTGCGTTACACAACGAAGCAGTAAGGGGGAGAGAGTCCAGATACACCTTTTGATTTATGAAGGTTTTTTAATTAAGAGACATATTTAGTAGCAGAAACAGGAGTAAAGGAAGGTAGAGGAAAATATATATTAGATTGCTATTCGTAAATACAGTAGAACCCGCTTATAATGACGAAGGGAAAGGACAAACACGTCATACTAAGCGGGCGTCATAGAAAGCTAGTGTTGCCCAAATTCAGTCTTGGTCTTGCAGTCTTGGTCTTGTTCTTGCGTTTTTGCAAGACCAAGACCAAGAACAAGACCGCGTATTTTTAGCAAGACCAAGACCAAGACTGACCGTGCAAGACTTGAGCAAGAACAAGACATAGCCTGCAAGACTCTTGCGTCTTGCAGCTAGGACTTAGCGCTATTTCACTGAGTAGTTAGGTGTAACAGTTCGGTGTATAGGTAGGTACGCTTAGGAATTCTATGAGACGCAAAAAACTGTATCAAAGAATATGAAAAACTGGACCTATGCGCATTACGACTAATACCATAAACATAGCGAATAAAAAAATTATTAAAATCAAACTGAGTGCATGCATAGTTATGTTTTAACCATCGGCACTTTGATAATGCGGCATCAAAGGTTTTGTACTTACTTCTCAAAGAAATTTGCCGCTTTTCGGAAGTACATGGTTATGATACACGCGCCGGCGGCTTCTTTTGAAATCTAAAACAATCGTTGCCGCCACGCCGAAATCATAACATTTGACACTATTTGATTGCCGCCATAGGGTGTAGGTATACTCATGCAAAATAATTTCGAATTTTTTTACACGCTTTATATTATTGTTTGATTTGCGGCGGCATCCTTATCATAGAGCCGGCACGTGGCGAGGCGGCGCGGTAGAAAGCAAGGATCATAAATGTTTATTAAGAAACAGTTACTTCCATGGAAAACGACATATAGGTCAGTTGATTTTTCGAATTTCTTATCAAATCTTCAGTTATTTATTAATCTGCTTGATCTTTACTATGGCTATATTCATTCAAGCTCACAATGTTCCAATTCTAATACGTTTTTCTAGGATTTAAAGTAAACTTTAATAAATAGTAATAGACTAATAGGTAATTGCAAGACTTGCAAGACTCTTGCTGCAAGACCAAGACCAAGACCAAGACTGGGAGCGCAAGACCAAGACCAAGACCAAGACCAGGTGTATTGGCGCAAGACCAAGACCAAGACTGGCTAAGTCTCGTCTTGTTCTTGCGTTTGGGCAACACTATAGAAAGCAAAGTCTTAGAAAATAAACAACATTCTATTTCGGTTAGTTATTTAGTTTAATAGAGAGAAAAACTACAAATTGTATATAATTGTTAACAGAAAAAGAAAAAGAACGATGAATTGTAATATCAATATACATAAGAAGGGTCGGAAAAATGAGAGAAAATGTGATAATTAATCATTTGGGTCACTATAGCCGGATATGATTTCTTGACGATCAGTCCTAATAAACGATATATCATTGTATCCAAACTTTCCTATAGAGAATTTAATATGAAAACCAAACTCAACTCTGCAATTATTTCATATTAAGCGGCTGGTCAATATAGGCGGAGTCATAATAAACGAATTCCACTGTATGTAGCTAGGAAAGTGTGTTGTAATGAGGGTTAAAAATATTGTTAAAATATATGAAAGAACGAAGTGTATTTTTGGGATAAAGATATAGACATCAACATTACTTACAGGGGTGGTTTAAGAAATCTAAAGAGGGAAAACCAAAATAAATCAAGGTTTAAATAAAAATATCATTACAAACTGAAAAGAAAAAATGCCAACAAAACAATGTATCGTTTGTATGATCGGTGAATTTTTTGCCTTAACTGTATATGTGCAGAAAAAACAAAAACACTAAAAACGTTCTTAATGACATTGTTTATAGGTAAGGCAAAAAGTTTACTAAACATGGAAGTTACACGCTTGTGTGTCTATGAAGTGAATGTTTTTTTTTCAAGCACATTTATCTGAAAATATCACCTGCTTGTTTGAAAACTGTTCTAAATAGAGATCGGCCGTCTATCCGGTTTGGATCCGGTATCTGGCGGATCCGACACCTTTTTTTTAGGATCTGGTAGGATACCGGATAATGATAGCGGTGACGGGTAATTATATTTATAAGGCTCGTAGTCTCGTTTCAACGGTTTTAATTCAGTCTCCGTTCCGTTAATGATCCGCTAACCAAGAATTAAAATTACACTGGTTTAGTGTTTAAACTACATTTTAATTTTTTTTTTTTGGTGTTTAATAGAAAGCCCGCCAAAACTGATCGTGAAACATCGTGAAACATAAATCATTAACCGTAGTGATTTTGCTCCGGTCGATTATCCGCCACAGCTAATGCTGGGTACTCGGTTATCCGGTGTATCTTTAGTTCTAAATGAATCGAATTTTTAAAAACTTTTGAATGACACGTAACAAAAGCCTTCAGTTGCATTTATTGAATACACTTCCAACATAATTAAAAAAGAACTTTGGATTTGAACCCCGCCTCCGTAGCTACGGCACTCAGTACAATTGCAGTTTCAGGAAATATTTTCATTTTCACTTATTGACCCTATTTGTGTAGCATGGAAAATGAACACTCTGTAGATAATTATCTAAAATGTTGAATGAAAATCCCACTTCCGTCTACCTACTTAACGAAAGATTATTGACTTGTGCAGACTAAAATTACTTAATAATGGTAGACAAATAGTTTTCGCAGTCGTTGTAATATAGAAGCAATTTTCCACGTATGTATGCATGGAACTGAAAAGAGGTCGATGACGGTAAAAACTTTCAACCAACAGACAACTAAAAAAGATTTTTCGCAATTGCACACTTGTTTTGATCAACAAAAAAGTGTTTGTCTGGATTAAAGTTGTTCACATGTTAATAAACCGAGTTCTTTTTAAAAATGTCTCAAAATAATTTCTCTAATTGGTAAAAAACAGCTCAATTGCCTGACTTTCAAAATACAGGTAGTCAATAAAATAGAATTTTATGTATATATATTGTACATCTCATTTTATGTTTGTACCTAGAAGTTATGAAAAGGCCATAATCAAAAAATCATAATTAAAAAATTAAAAAACAAAATACTTTTAACCATCGAAAATAATTTTTAGTACTTAAGGTACCCTAATTTTGATAATAAACTAGGAACTTTTAA